CGGTTTACGAACATACATATACCCTCATGTTAGCGAAAGCATCTTTTTAATAATGAGAAAAAAACAGGGATTCTATTTAACAGAAAACATTATGAAATAGCACTGAAAATAGATAAAGGGCGTCGCTTGAAGACGATCTATTGCTGAAGTTGGGGATGACTTGGCTTGTCTTGACTTGGCAAGTAGCTGTAGAGTTTGCAGTAGAAAGGCTTGCAGTAAAAGAGCTTGAATGGATGGCAAAGATGTGTTGGGTTATATCATGTTTAGGGTTCAAGTGCACAGTCTTTCCTTCCCCTCGACTAAATCAGGTTTCGGAACGGAATTCATGTGGCTCTGGTCCAGGCCATCCGCTGTCCAGCAACGTATGCATGTGTGGTTCAATAGGCTTACACTGGTAATGTCTTTGCCTAGAGCAGGACAGGGACGAATTTGTAAGTATCGCAGGTTCGATGGAAGTAGGAATCACAGAGAGACAACAGAACAGTCTCTGTTTAGTCCAGTAGCCAAGTGGAAGGTCACTGGCTAGGGAAGTTACCAGCTCCTTCTCGAGGACTCTTGTGGCTGGTTGCAAGTTCTGCTACCAACTGCCCACACGCGCTGCCAAGCAACCTGCACAAATTGTATGACTAGTCGTCTGGTTGCGTCGCCTGGAGGGAGGCAAGAGAGAGAGAGAGAAATGTTTGTCGTAAATAGAATGTCGCCCCTTCCGTCGCCCGTCGCGTCGTGCTGTTGTGCGTCGCGTCGTTCGTCGTGTCGTGCATCGCGTCGCCTGAAGCACGACACGACGCAACGCACGACGCAACCCACTAAGAATTGAGAAGAAAATGAAAGAGGATATGTTGAACATCATTTTCTTGTCCAGCCTGGACACATCCTGAGAGAGTTGAATTTAGTAAATAATTTTGAAATATAAGGATTAATCATTGGTGTCTATGGAAATTTATTTGTAGGGGTGCACCCCTGACTTGTAAAAGGAGGAAAACGACCATACGAATCTCTACACTGGCGTCATGCCGCAGCGAACCCCTCGAAAATAGTTCCAGTTAATAGCATCCACGTATGTTCGAAGCCACTGCTATGGTGGCCCTGGAGGGACACCACCAATCGTCAACTTTGACGCCAATATTCACAACCAAATTCATGACTCGCTCTCCGGTCGCGAATATTGCCGTCAATATTCACGACCAAAATTCATGACTCGGTCTCTGGTCGCGAATATTGCCGTCAATTTTGTGACCAGTCTCATGACTTATATCTCCGGTCGCAAAATTTTGCCGCGATTTTTTTTTACATGTAGCAGGCCAGGTAGAGGGAAAAGTTGCTAGGTGGAAATAAAGTGTTCACGCGCAATGACCTACATTTTCCGGCTTGATTTCAAGTCGTTATTCGGCTGAGCAGTTTTGGCACAGCGCAGGGGGCACAATGTTAAAAAGCAACTGCTGTGTCTATAGCTGAGCAACTTCTCTACCTGGCTTGCTGGATAAAATCGCGGCAATATTTGCGACCGGAGATACACATTGTAAATTTGGTCGCAAATATTGCATCAATTTTCGCGACCAGAGGGCAAATCATGAAGTTTGGTCGTGAATACTGACGGCAATATTCGCGACCAGAGAGTGGGTCGTAAATTTGGTCGCAAATATTGACGTCAATATTGACGATTGGCAATGTCTCTCAAGGGCCACCAAACACTGCCGCCAGCCCTTCGGTACAGTAAATTGTGCGTCCACGACTCAGTCACTCATGATAGCCCCCTGACCCAGTCACCGTGTTTTAACGGTAACGAGCATTCCAGACAAAACTAGGTGCCATGTCTATACGTCACTAGAAAACAGTTGGAATCAGGGTCTGGGTGATGGACTTGTGACATTGCACGGGGGATACATTTCTAAGGGGGGGGGGACAAATGTACCGTTGAGCAGGGGGACAAAATTACCTGGAGGGGGACAGATTGACGGGGGGTGTGATTCAGTAAAAGGGTGCGGGGGGAACATTTACCAGGAGGAACTGAGTTTTACCGTTTACAGCAGCGATTCACCCAGCCGGCAAAACCATGTGCACCGAGGACCTACAACAGCCAAAAGCTAGCCGTTAGCTGCGGCTGGCTTGGGAATAGCCTCATGCAGTTTGTGATCATGCGTACATGCAGCCGATGCTCTTTTCTTCCTTGAAAAACCATTTTAGATAAAATCACGTTAAGAGAACTACCAGACCCTAGTTTTGAAAAGGTCCTCACTCTCCTCCCAACCTCAAACCCGGCAATGAACCTCACACTCAATCAAAACAACCTGATCCAGGATATCATTTCATTCTCCTTACAGCATTAACCACAAACACCAAGGTGACTTTTTCCTATTCATCAACTGTCCTACAAAAAGTTTAGAAGCTAAAGGCATCTGGATTTTTTCCCACGAAACGTGGACCACTGAAAAACTGGCATAAAAGTTTCAATAATAGCCAGTGTACTAAAATAAAGGCAAAGGGGGTATTGAGGACCAATCTGAGTGCCTTTCTCATCTTTTCCTGGAAAAATTAGCTGATGGATAAAATTTGGTTTTGGTTTCTCCAGCAGTGTGGGACACGAATCCATCCATCTCCCATACTCAACAATATTGCAAACAGTACTTGGTAAAATAAAGCTGCACAGAATCGTCGGAAAGAAATCTTGGTTTATAACTGATTCCGTTTGAAATCTAGCAAGGAATATATGTATGTAATGAGAGCCTGTGTAATATGGGTACGGTCAAACATCAAATCTTCAAGATGGATGCAATTACGTGTATCTGCAAACCCAGAGACAAACCTAACTATGAAAAACAGTACTATGCGAATCAAGTTAAATACAGCTGACGATCNTATAATCGTTTACAAATTTCAATTTAGTCATTCGCAAACCATAACGGCCCAACGTACCGTGCATTATTTGTACCGTACAAAAGCAAACCTGCTGCAGCGAAGGGTATTGTGCAACACACCGTGCAGTGTTTCCGCCACACACGTACACTGGGCCTGCCGGCCGGGGTTGTCAAAATCATCGCCCAACACCTTGATCAAGGCTAAGTTGCGAGTTTCAAATGAACTTCAATCCATCTAAACCAGCGTATTCAGGTTTTTCCTTTCCTAACATGTTGTTCCATTTCTTGCCGAGATCGACAAAGTCTGAATGGTCTCATCCATAGACATGTACAGTCGTGTTTCTCATTATGGCATACTACTACTATAGACGGTATAACTCTCTTTCATTCCGCGCCAATAGCTAGTAAGACAAGTTTGACATACCAAGCGGTATGTCTTAGGCTGAGTAGGACTGTATGTCCACTCTCAAATAAATAAAGAGATATGTCAAGGTTAAGAACCTTACAATCAAGACGCTTGCAGTTGACAATGCCAATACAATTGACTCACATAGTTGACTAAAATGTCACGTAATCTGAATCTGATTTTTACTTTACACAGTGATATTAATGTCATGTTTTACACTTGGTGTATTTTTAGTATGATTGTACTTGTGTAAAATTAGAGCTTTGTGGTCATATCTGCTGCAGATACATGTATTTCAGAGCTTGGTTCTTTAAGGAAATACATGTACACAGCTTTAGTGTTTTCTTTTCGGCGGGGGGGGGACCCGCGGTTGTAACACCTTTTGGTCTATGCAAATTAGATTGCCTTTTTATTCAGTACATGTACATACGTGTATAATTGTATTCATTACATGTACAATGGTCTACTGACCACAAGTGGAATAGGGTCGCAAAAAGTAAGAAATTTGAGAAAATAGAAGGTATTCCAGTATTCCAATTTTGCAAAAAAGTTCATGTTTAATAGGTTCTCCATTTCACTACTTTATATTTTATACCAAAGTAGCCTTTTTAAAGATGCACTCTAAATACATGTAAATGTATAACTACATGTATATATAAAATGCTGTGCATTTGTTAATGGTCAACAATTTTAGCTAACAGGGGACCATTTTCCAAGGTTTGGGTATAGCTAGCAATGACAACGTTTTAAGGACTATTTTATTATGGAAATATGTTGATATAAAATTGAACCACGACTTAAATCATCGACTTGTGAATAAAGAGATGTGACACTGAACAATGTACTCTATGTACAGCTATAGGTACTTTTCCCAGGCACATTTTGTAAGATACGGACCTTGTATGCCAGTCTTATGCAAATTGATAGAACTTTCATCTGATGTGACCTTTCACAAAAAAGGTTGGAACAAGGCTTGGTAGAGCAATTAATACTACAAACTTCCAACACACTAAAAAAGCTAATAAAATACAGAACAGAGAAGTATCTTTAAGTGTCAGTGTTTCATTATTTGGTCACAGTAATGTCAAATATGAATCCACTTTACAATTGCTCAATGAATCAATAATCAACTACTGTGTACAAATGCTGAACTGTTTTCAGGTGTGTTATAACACAGCATGTTTTTAATTGTATGTCTCTCTTGAAAGGACATTGTATACTCTAATGCTTTCAACAATATTTATAACTTTACCATTAATATTGCTTGAACATCAAAAGAGAATATCACCAAAAACTAGGTACAAAAAATATAAATCTTCAAAATGAGTCCTGGCAAATGTGAGGTATTTGAATGACAAACAACCTTACTCTGGTCGTGCACAAATACCCATTGTTTGAAATCTTTATGAAAACCCACATTTCAAATGTTATAAATAGAGATAAGCTTCAACATAATTTCATAAGCAAAAGGACAAGCACATTCAAAATATCCTGCCATCTAGAAGTTCATACCCTGAGCTTTTTGTTTGGAATAACAACATGTATTTAATCAAACTACACTATTTCATTTGCATGTACAAAGTCCATGTACATGGACTGAAAGACAAAAGCATTGGTCAAATGCCTCCCCCCTCTTGAACCCTTCTCCCACAACCCCACCCCTCCATCTACAACCAAGCCCCCTCCACCCACAACCCAGCCCCCTCCACCCACAACCAGGACCCCTCCACCCACAACCCAGCCCCTTCCTTGAGATGTACAGGTTCTAAATAAGTGGCTAATACATGTAATTTGGCTTCATACCGTTCCTCATCGCTGTCTTCTGATGACCTCTTTCCAGTGCAACTAGTTATGCTTGAAGCCCACTTCTTCATGTCCAACTCCGTCATCTCCATCATCATTGGGACAACTAGTAGGAAGCCCTGTCGGGGCAGAACCAAAATTGTGGAATGCATCTCTCTTCAAGAATAAGATTTCAACATTCGGCCTTCTCAAAATGAGAAACTGAACACTGGACACAAACAGTGATTGCTTTGGGTGGCAAGGTGAATCTCACTTCTCAAGATGATCCACTGAGCATTCCATTTTTCCGTAAAGAGAATTTGAATAGTGTGCTCAACAGATCAATGCAGGAGGCTCGTCTGACGGCACCACGAATTAAAGCAGTCAATATTTGTTTGGCAACACCTCAACTGCAGTTTCTGAACTGTAACACAGAGGAGAGATGTCAGCCAGACACTTGTCAAGAGCCTGAAATGAAGGCCAGAGAAACCTCAAACTACAGTGTTGAAATGGAGAAGTCACCACTTTTACATTGGTTTCATCCAACTCTTTTGTGTGCCAGAAAAAAGTTAACACAATCAATATATAAAGTTGACTCTTGATACAAAGAACACTGTTATAACTAAATTCTGTTGTCAAAAGCAAATTTTTGAGAAACCCAATTCCTTTAATTCTTGTGTTTTCTTTGTTTTTCAACTCCTTTTATGTCCAAATCCTGGCTATGACAAAGTAATCTGTCTGGTTCCTTTGTTATGAAGAGGGTTGACTCTACTTGTTTGTGCAGAATACACACACAGATGCCAGAGTATCAGCATGCCCAATGCTCTGGATCCTGGTCAGATTTTCAGGCACCTGCCCACACCAACTTAGCAGGAAGAGTTAATGGATCTAAGTACATACCATCAAGATCATCACCATGAAGTTGTTGGTAGTGCGTATTTCCCCTGGGCTCCTTCACATGAAGAATTCTGCATTCACACAAACATTTTGAATAAAATGACTTGAAACAATGTGATTCTATACATGGGGCTTGAAGCCCCTTGGGCATTTCATGACAAGAATGTATTGGAGAAATTCAGGTACATGTAGGTTCCCACAAAAAATGGCTTGGAAAAAACATTGATGCAGATTCGGGTTAAAAGTGGTCAGTAGTGACCAACAGGTACGGACCACAGGTACTGACCATCACAAGGCCTGTTGTAAGCATCACAGTTACACTATTTTATTTTTCAATATTATATCCAATTACTCACAAGATCACGAGCCAGGCTGCACCCCCCACCACAGCCATGACAAAGTAAACAAATCCCGGCATAAAATGCAAGGTGCTGGAGTAGATGGCATTGAAGATCAGCGGTGTCACAAAGGCAGCCAAACCACAGAGGCAACCACTGAATGCAAATAGAACACCTAGAAGAGGAGACAATTATTAGATGGATCAGACGAGATGCATACTTATCAAAGGCAACTTGGGGTAAAATCGAACAATTCCCGGGAATCTGAGTACTTTCCATAAACATAAACTACCTGTAGACCGACAACAGTGGATGTAAGACAGTGATTTCAGGATATTTAGCTGTTACCAGCTGAACTTAGCCATCTACACATGTACAAGTAGATAGCATATAGACCTTTTTCCTGTGATGTCACGATCATGCTGGACCTATCGTGTTGTGATGGGAATGAGTGCATTGTGTTGTGATGGTGATCTACTTCTCCAAGATAAACTAGTCAAGCATGCAGCATTCACACGTGTGCTTACACGCGGCTGAAACTGCCCGTGGCCAAGGCGGTCCACACGTGGTGGTATTGTTTGTATTTAATCACTTTGAAGTGCCAGAGTTGTAACTCATTTTGTGTCCTTCCTCGATGGTTAAACTCTGAAGAGGGCAATTTAAAAGAAGTAAAATTAAATCATGATGATAAATTCTTAGCATCAAATACACTTACTGAATCCAAAAAGCTGACAAGTGGACATAAAACCTTGCCAACCCAGATTGTGTGCAACACATGTGCATTCATACTTCTTTAACCCTAACTACCCCAAACCTGCCATACTCCAACAGCAGGTTTTGTGAGGTTCTGGCAGGTTTGGTACCGTACCTGAGGAACTTCTGGTTGAATTTTGTGAGACTTGGGATGAAAGG